TGGGTTCTCCATCCTGTTACTGTACCCAGACGCAGCTTGAACTTCTATTTCGTTTCTGTGAATTTTTTCTTAGATTCCTTGTTCTTATATTTTTCATGTTTAGCATTGCATCTTTGTTGACAATGTAGATTGCCCTGAATAACTTGTATGTCGTGATTATGTCCAACATCCTTCTTCTGACTCAAGTGAGACTAACTGCAGCTCAATTCTCTTATTGTCGGGATAATGTTTTCTTCCTATCGGTATTACCTGTAGTTAAATATTTGTTTCTTGGCTGTATAATCAAGGGTGAGTCTGACATATGTTGAACAGTAATCTGAAGATTTTCTTAACTAGCTTCTGTATGTATGTGTGTGTGTGTGTGTACTTACCTAATTGTGCTTGCGGGGGGGTTGAGCTTTGGTTCTTAAGGCCCGCCTCTCAATTGTCAATCAACTGGTGTACAGATTCCTGAGCTCTATCAAATCTACATTTAAAACTGTGTATGGAGTCAGCCTCCACCACATCTCTGGCTAATGCATTCCACCTGTTAACTACTCTGACACTGAAAAAGTTCTTTCTAACGTCCCTGTGGCTCATTTGGGTACCTAGTTTCCACTGAGTACCCAAATTGTGTGTGTGTGTGTGTGTGTGTGTGTGTGTGTGTGTGTGTGTGTGTGTGTGTACTTACCTAATTGTGCTTGCGGGGGTTGAGCTCTGGCTCTTTGGTCCCGCCTCTCAACCGTCAATCAACTGGTGTACAGATTCCTGAGCCTATTGTGTGTGTGTGTGTGTGTGTGTGTGTGTGTGTGTGTGTGTGTGCGCGCGCGCGCGCGCAATCGTATACACACCTTGATAGGCTTACAGGGTTGAACACTATCTCCTATCACAACAGTCAGAATACTTTGTAGCTCAGTGCAATGACTCGGTTCCTTCATACTCATTATCGTATATATCATTGAAGAATTTTTTCTGACATTATGATATTAGTATCTCTATTCACCTATGACCTTACGTTTCTCCTTGAATACTGTCACTTAAGTTTAATTTCTCCATATCCCCTTAAAATGTACTATTTTTCGCCATCATATACCGATGTACTCACTCTAGAGGTCGTCTGTCCTCTATGTGCTCACCAAGTTTTGCTTGCGGGGGGTTGAGTTTCTGCTCTCTGGACCCACCTCTCAACTATCAATCAAGTGGTGTAAAGATTTTTGAGCCTATAGGGCTCAGTGTATGCCCAATAGGGTGTATGTGTGTTTGCAATTATTTACTCATTTGTGCCTGCATAATCGAGCTTTAGCTCTTGGACCCCATCTTTGCATTTTGCTAGTGCATAGACTCCTGACCTATGTTCTTGCCTACCGTAACTAGCCACATCCCTACCTTGGCGACCACATGCGCTAGGCTTCCCTACCTGGGCGACCACATGCGCTAGGCTTCCCTACCTGGGCGACCACATGCGCTAGGCTTCCCTACCTGGGCGACCACATGCGCTAGGCTTCCATACCGGGACGACCACATGCTCTAGGCTTCCCTACCTGGGCGACCACATGCTCTAGGCTTCCCTACCTGGACGACCACATGCTCTAGGCTTCCCTACCTGGACGACCACATGCTCTAGGCTTCCTTACCTGGACGACCACATGCTCTAGGCTTCCCTACCTGGACGACCACATGCGCTAGGCTTCCATACCTGGACGACCACATCTGCTAGGCTTCCCTACCTGGGCGACCACATACGCTAGGCTTCCCTACCTGGGCGACCACATGTGCTAGGCTTCCCTACCTGGACGACCACATGCTCTAGGCTTCCCTACCTGAAGAAGCTATACGATGTTGGACATCCATGACTACTCAGTTTTACAGAAACTTGTTACCAGGATCCGATATCGTTACCGGGACCCAATATGATATCACCGCAGCCCGTTCCCTCGATCTGCCACTCCGTTAACAATGTAACATTAGGATCCTGCATGTGTCCGTGCTTCACTTGACACCAGGTATCGTTCGTCTGCCAACCATTTACTTACTATTATATGATTTATTGTACAAGGTTACAAAATGTATTATATGCATTATTATATATCTATAATTCATTGTGCCGGAGGACAGGCAGGCAGTAAGCATATTATATGTATATATATATAATATATATATATATATATATATATATATATATATATATATATATATATATATATATATATATATATATATATATAATACATATGTTATATATTTACATATAAAATTATATTATATTATATATATATATATATATATATATATATATATATATATATATATATATATATATATATATATATATATATATATATATATATATATATATATATATATATATATTATTTGAGAATAACGAAAACCCTAAATATTCTCAATAAGGGCCAGATCACTCTTACATAAATTTTATATACAAAACCACTTATGCCTGGCAGGTGAAGTAGGTGTACAAGGATTTTTAATAATGTAGTTTCCATTAAAAATTTAGTGCTCATTGAGCTGTCTTAATATATGTTAGTAACATTATCCTCAATAAATGTATTATGACTATTTTTTTCATTATTAATACATTTCCAATAATACGATTTTCATGTGCGAAGTGTACGGAATTCTGTATCTTTAATATGCATTTTTTAAAACCTCACGTCGAAAGCTATTGCAAAATCATCAACCATCAATAATAAAATAAATGAATACAATAAATTCATTAGGAGAATGTAATCTGCCTTCGTGGTATAATAAAAGTTATAATCAGATATCAAATACAGCTTCCGTTATGCAAGGATAATCATGTTTTGTCTAAATGATAACAGTTCTATTGAAATTTGGGATAACAGTTCCTTGTGACGTAATGGTAACACACTCGATTCACGAGCGATTTAGTCTGGGTTCGAATACAGGTACTTGTCAAGGAGGACTGACTGGGCACTCATCCATTTTAAAGAAATTGGAAGTGGTTAAAGATAAAGGAATGATCATGTCAACAATTTAACAATTAGAGAACGAAATAAGCCAACGTTGCTCCGGTTAGAAAAATATAATTGTGGATTATTATGTCTTTTAAAACTAAAGATACTCCCTTGTCTCATATATTCTTTCTAGGTAAGCCAGGTATTCGTGTTGAAATATCTGTTGAATATAATATCGCGCTTTAGTATGTACATCATAGATTGGATACGAGATAACTCACAATCTTTACAGAAAAGTTAATAAATAATTAGGTTGTTAATCTGAGCAGTAAAATAAAAATTTCCTAAAGAGAGAGAGAGAGAGAGAGAGAGAGAGAGAGAGAGAGAGAGAGAGAGAGAGAGAGAGAGAGAGAGAGAGAGAGAAAGTTGGAGGCTTAGAATGGAGCTAATGGTCAGTAGAGGCGCCACGCGGACAATTAGAGAACTAGAGGCCAAGTATTCCTCAACCATCACTGAGCAAGGAAGAAAGTTTTCACGAGAGAGCTCTACATATGTTCCTGCATGTCTGATGCAAGCATCAATTGCCTGATTTATCTGTCGGTCACCAGGAAGTTTATTTACAAGGCAGATAATGCCTAATGTGTATATAAATATATATATATATATATATATATATATATATATATATATATATATATATATATATATATATATATATATATATATATATATATATATTTAAGTTCAGGTAAATATATATACGTGTATACTTTGACTTAGAGAGGAAACCTAAGGTTTATTAAGGACCTCATGTCCATATACTGTACTCGTACACTGAGAGATATGAGAAGACCTCTAAGATAGTCTGCCAAAAGATTTATTACGAGCTCATAAAGGAGGAATACTGTTGCGCACCATATATCAGTGTTAAGTAATTGGTGATGCAATCCTCACTCTAACGAGGAGCTTACTGAATGTTGAAGGACAATGACATTATGGTTTATGATTGAAGCGAGTCGCAAGTCACGGCGGAAGTCGATTACGATCTTTGACTATGAGCTGCGTGTTGTTTGTTGTGATATCGGAGAGGAACTGTTACGTTATTGTTGTTGTTTTTTTGCTACAGCGCCGTTTGCGCTCTCTCAGGTCTGTGGTGGCCTAATCTATGGCCAATTTCGCCCTGACCAACTCATTATGGATTGTCAATCACGTCGTAACCCTACGAGGTTCGTCTCGTCAACAATGGTTCTATTTCGTTGGTCTATGTGTTCACAGTCAACCATACCGTTGGTACCTAATCACCCTTTGCATCCGGATGGGGGAGAGGAGGGTTGTTTGATGTCGAGAAGCAGAGGGCGGGTTTTTGGCAAGGTGGGGGAGACAAATAGCTTTAAATATCACCCAACTAGATGAACTAATTTAATCCAGCAAAGTCTGGAATAAGCCCTAGTTATGCGATAATTGACGGCCGACACCTGGCCACCTTCACAACGGACATTCATCATGAGATGTGGCCTAGTCGGGTGGGACAGTTGGCGATGTCGCTCATGACTGATAGACTGCCGGTATCAGATGGTGTCAGCTTGCACCTGCGTGGCGGTCCTTGGCGATCTAAGGAAAATCTCCAGAGTGATGTCTCCCTCACGCGATGTACGTGAGGACTCGACGACATCCGGGCTCAGGTGTGCGGTTGTGTGGTGAATGTATAGTGCTGGTGATAGGGCAGGTGTGTAGGGTGTAGGACAGGTGTAAGGGTGACAGTAACCCACCGGTGCGGGAGTGTTGGGGGGGATATTGAGGGTGCTGGTAGGAACTTCAGTACTCGCTAAGCTGCAGTAACGTCAGCGACGAGAGGCGTGTCATCCGCGATAAGAGTGAGTATAGAATGCATGGAGCGAGTGGAGGAGAGTTGCCAAAGGAAGGGATGGATGGAGGGGTGGGGGGTGGAGGGCGGGTTGGATGTGGGGAGGTTTGGGTGGGCGGTGCCAGTGCCGGGCGCGGGGCGGGGTGAGTGCGGCCCTCCCCGGCCGACGTTATCGCCTAACTGAGGGCTGGCGGCCGCCCCACACTCCTGCCAAGGCGGCGTCCCCTCCTGCCAGCGTCCCGCCTGCACGTCGTCTGGCCGCCACACGCCGGTTAACTCCCCGCGCTGCTCACAGATGTCGCGGCCGGCGCGCCCGGCTCGCTGCTGCGCATCCCCGGCCCTCATGCTCTTATTTACGGTTTGTTTATAGTCGTGCATCGTCACATGGGCGCTCGGTGGGGCCAGGCGCGCTCCGACTGCTCGTAATTTATCCGGACGGAGACGGTGGTCGGAGGCTCGGAGTGGGGTGCAAGGCTCGCGCAGGGTCCGCGGGTCGGGCCACCTCGTTGCGCCCGCTACCACTCTCATTATCTTGTTAACCTCCACTCATGCGGCCATTCCTATTGGTCGCTGTCGGTCACGTGCTAGTATTCCCAGCCCATAAATGGAGTAATGTGCAAGTGCTAGAGAGGTTTTCCTTCGAGTAGTGTCGCCATAATTCATCAACATTGGGTAGAACAGTGGACAGAAGGGCACTCGAGGAGCAAATCACCTGCGGACTTCCGCGATGAGCTCCTATCAGTTCGTGAACTCTATGTCCGCCTGCTACGGGCAGCGCGGACAGGACGCCAGTGTCGTGAACACAGACTACTACGGTACTTCCCTCAACAGTTACAACAATTGCTACTCGCCTCCACTGCAGTATGGAGGCTACACACCTTCCGGAATCTCAATCGTTCCAAACGGAAGCGAATTCTCCGGCGGCGGCAGTAGCGGAGCCTCGGGGACTTCAGCGTCTGCAGCGTCGGGGTCATCAGTGGGCACCCCGAGCGGCTCCGGCGGGAACACCACACCAGGGCCCTCCGTGCAGGGTCGCCTACACCAGACATCCTCCTCGCCTGCCTCCACGCCGCAGGCATCCACCTCCTCTGCCTCCTGCAAGTTCGCCTCCACGCCCGAGTCCTCTGCCAACCCAGTAGGCTCCCCGCAGGACCTGTCCGTGTCAGCTGGCGGCAGTGGGCCAGGCTCGAGTAGCTCAGGAAGTGGCTCCGAGCAGAACAGCTCTAGTCAGGGCGGTGGAGGAGGCACCAGCACTACCGGCGGAGGCGGCGATGGTGCAGAAGGCGGAGAGAGTCTGGAGGGCGCCTCTGGAAGCTCGGGGGGCTCATCCACCACCAAGTCCCAGCCACAAATTTACCCCTGGATGAAGAGAGTCCACCTCGGCCAGAGTGAGTAACCACATAAATCTGTCGTGAACAGGTTGTTTCAGAGACCCGCCATGTGCGGGTTTTAATGTTCTCTTGCTCACCCGTGACACATTAGCCACCCCTCCTTTCCACGGGTCTCGCCCACTCTTCTTCGGGAGCCTCGCGCCCCGACCCCTATTATATCACTTATAATAACTGCTTTGCTCTCCTTCAGTCTCTCAGTAACTCTTAATGCTTTATGAAATTGCATGACAGCCCCCGTACCAGAGGGCATTTCTTCCGCAGCAGGTCAAGCGGAGGCCAACAAAAGCCACACACACTCACACATGAGCGGCCGCCGTCGTAAATATTCCCCGGTGCACGGCTCGGTCGCTCAGAACTCACCAGTGGCCGCAACACTCGATTGGTAGCCCCAACCCACACTGCTCCTCACCACCTCATCACCTGCTTTAACAATCCTTTCGCCGCCTCTAAACAGTCCATAAAGTCATAAAGATGCTCCCAACAGACCTAACCCACTCTTTCAAGAGCCGTAACCACAAGAACGAGCAGGTTGGGTAAAGCGGGGAGTCATAAATTGTGTCCTGGGAGGAGGGTGACCCGCGCGCGGAAGGGTTTGAGGCTTGGCGAGGCGTTGTCTCCACAGTAGCCACGCTCTTAATGAGTCAACTGCGGTGCCCCTCTTGACAAATTGACAAGAAATAGATTTGCAGGAAATTTACGACTAAAGAGTGGCAAAACATTTCATCTCCTTCCCTTCCTTCCTTCCTTCCTTCCTTCTCTCAACCCTCCTCCCCCTCCCCCCAGGCATAACAAAAAATTATTGCAAAAGTGAAGACATTCACGGTAGGATTTTTTTTCAAAAGGTGAAATCTTAAATAGATAATGGGGTCATGGACATTTCAGGTTGCATGTGCAATGATTAATGTTGGGCAGTGGTGTTGTAAGACGTCGTTCAATGCGGGAATGTCTGTTAATGATCCACAATGCTGATTTAAAAAAGTTAATAATCTCAGATGGGAGATTCAGTAAGGCCATCAGTCGATTGTTTGTGTGTGCCCTCTTTCTTCTCAAGCAGCGCTCTTAGCGACCGATAAACACGTCTAACTGATCACCAACAATGTATATGTCAGTAATTTAAAACTCCAAAAATGCCAGAGGAAAGTTCGCACTCTCGCTAAAAGTTGGTGTGAATGAAATAATTAATTGAACAAAGTGAACCAAAAAATATTCCTTTCCTCCATGCCTGTGTCATCACTTTGCCAAGGTAACGTTTTCCCGGTGTAGACCTGACTTGATATTTCAGATGTGTCTATTGATTTATCTAATTACGAGTGTCAGAGCGCGGGCCGTCTGAATACCGAACAAGAGAATCACGAAGCTCCATATTACCACGTTAATGATCTTTACACAAGCACAATCCACCATTTTTTGTTTGTTACACGAAATATAATGACCTCTTGCAAGCAGGATGTTGCATACTCTTCACCATATCGGACAAAACCACCACCTGCCACGCGCTTGTGTTAATTTTTATCGTGCGTGTTATTACATAATTCTCTTCGCGTCATAAAGTTCTGGTAAACATTGTCAGTCTATGGCAGTTTTTCTCCTCGGATGAGGATGCCAAGAGAGGACGGGGCGGGCTCAGACCCCCGGAGAAAATTTATGGCAGAACCATCACCCTTCTCTAATGCCATTTGTGGATCTTAAGTCTTCCCTGGGCGGTGGTCATAATTGCCGGATGTTTTATGGCTCGAGTGATCTTGAATATTTGTGTGTTAAATTCTCACCATGGCGTTCGCTTTCATGTAATTATTAATTAAATTTGGACAGTCACTTTGTGAATGATAAAAACAATTATTACACATTTTAACAATTAGAAAGAATAAAATGTAACAGTGTTCAGAATTATGCTGAGTAGAATAGAAGGCCTAGAGAAAAGCTGAAAACAAATTACTGGTTTTTATGTTAAAGAAATGTTCTATGACGACCTCGCGGTATATATCGCTGGTGGGCATACTCCCTGGTATATCGCTGGTGGGTGGTCGCTTCGATATATCGCTGGAGAGCAAGGGCTTGAGTATACAATATCGTCGGTTTGGTATACCGCCATAGAAAATCGGTATTTCGCTGTTGAGTACACAACGCTATAAGAGGACATTTTGAGACCATTTCGCTATTGATTTTTCAATTGTTATTGTCCTGAATGGTCGGCCAGGCCTTGTACATCACACCATGGGTACTCAGGATTAGTACACCATGGACACCACTCAACGCCCTCATTGGTATTTACGCTATTGACACCTCCAGGATAACACTATTGACACCTCCAGGATAACACTATTGACACCTCCAGGATAACACTATTGACACCTCCAGGATAACACTATTGACACCTTCTGGATTGACACCTTCATCATCACATTTTTGACACCTACGAAAGCAGTTTTTCTTTATAAAAAATAATCCGATGTGAATGCAAAATGGCCGATCAAACACAACTGGGGTTTAAATACTAATAATATTAATAACTGGTTAATAATGGAATGGCACAGGGGCCAGGAGTGTCATGAATTAGGTCGTTCGTCACCACTGGACAAAGTGCCATGTCACCAATTTGATAGTCATTAGTGAGAAATTGTGTGTGTGTGTGTGTGTGTGTGTGTGTGTGTGTGCTTGCTTGCGTGTGCACGTATGTGTGTGAATATGGCTGATTGTTTTTGTGTGTATGTGTGTGTGTATTCATGTGCACATGTTTGTGTATGTATAGTCTGTGTATAATGTGAATAGGTATGTGTAGAGTGTATGTGCGTGCAAATGAATGTTCTAAACTATCACTTGTAAAGCCGAGGACAAATCCAAAATTGTCAAAATACATTCTCAGATCAACAGTCCGTAGTACACGTGGGGGCGGTTCTTGTATATTTTTTCAAACACATCCTCATTAAAAACATGTTAATAATATATTTCAAGAAAAATTGAAATAACAATAATATATTATGAACTTCTTTGACATTTATTTTTGCTTTAGAAATGCATGTGTGTGTAAAAAAAAAATAGGGAAAGTAATCATAAATACAAATTATATATTTAACAGAAAATAACACAAAATCACACACAAACGTACCTACAGAGCGGGACCAAAGAGTCAGAGCTCAACCCCCGCAAGCACAACTAGGTGAGTACACACACACACACACACACACACACACACACACACACACACACACACACACACAGTAACCTACCACGGCCAGGGATGGAAACCATTGTCCAGTAGCATCGCTCGTAGGGCAGATTCCTCTACCAACCGACCCACAGCAGTCTGTAAAATAGCTCGACAACCGTTGTTTGATGCTTTGGCGTTGCTGCCCAAGCAAGTCCTCATTGATGAACTGAACATCTACGAATTTCTTAAAAGTGAGGGGCATATATATTTAATCAGCATGTTTTATATGAAACAATTCTTGACTAGGCCAGGCAAGTATGGGTTCTACCAGTGTGAAAAGAGTTGGACTTGCAAAGTCGTCCATTAAAATATAAATAAAAAATATTTATACAAAAAATAAATATATATATATATATATATATATATATATATATATATATATATATATATATATATATATATATAAATTATTTTTTTATTTATTTTTTAATGGACGACTTTGCAAGTCCAACTCTTTTCACACTGGTAGAACCCATACTTGCCTGGCCTAGTCAAGAATTGTTTCATATAAAACATGCTGATTATATAAATTCGTTATGTCTAATAGCTAGATAATTCAGAGAGAGAGAGAGAGAGAGAGAGAGAGAGAGAGAGAGAGAGAGAGAGAGAGAGAGAGAGAGAGAGAGAGAGGGTTGGGGGGGAGTAAGGTTAGGGAGAGGGCAAAGGGGTAGAAGGAAGTGCAATAAATTATCAGGATGAAGCAAATGTATGTAAACTTCTCTCTGGCACCACTACCACCTGTTCCACCACCTCACCAGCGCTCTCCTCACCATTCCCCTTCACCAACATCGTCCTCACTACCAATAACAACCACCAGTTCCTTGATCACCATCGCTACCACCGTCAACTTGAGAACCACCGCTTTCTCTCCAGACAACCGCCACCATCTTAAGAATCAACACCACCCACTCTACCGCCATCATGATTACTACATCGGTCATTATCCCACTTAGAACTACCCAGCTCTACCACAACAGTGAAACTCACAACTAAACCTGCCTCACCACCACCATTGCCTCTACAACCTAATTCATCACAATTATTTTATTACCCACAGTGTTCTTACCTCCAAAATCACTGTCATTACACACAGTAATGTTCATCCTAGCCAATATCTGCTTTACCACCACAACCACCATGGTCATCTCCACCACCATCGCTAATACAACCACTCACTACGTCATCATCATAAACACAACATCGAAATCCATCATGCCACCAGCACCACTAACACCAGAACTAGCACCACCTCCAGCAACAACATCACATGCGCCACACTACACCATAGCACAATTTCTACACCACCCAATAATTTCTACAACCATTTCCCTTCACAAAATTAACACTGACCGCAACACACTATAACTACCATCATATCTACTATCTACTTCCTGAACTACAACCTCTCCCCCCCCCCCCAAACTCTAGTCCTTTCACCATACTTACCACAACCACTCCCATAACCAGATATAGTAGCTCTTACCCACACCATCGTTACGAGCTAATTATCACCACAACTACCAAAACCGTCAATATAATTTATAGCATCACTATTACAAACACTATTACTACACAATCCAAACTTAACATCAGCTTACATTCATTAGCACATCCACGTAAAATTACTACCACAACAATCATCACCACCAGCGCTACCACCACCATCACCCTCATCAACGCCACCACCACCACCACCACCATCACTAACACCACCAGCGCCGCGGCCGCCATCACCGCCCCCCATCCCCCCAAACCCCCTTCAGCTATTTTCAAGCCTATGGTTTTTCATTGCTTGTC